GGCGCCCTTCTCTGCGTACTCTGACTCACTTACGCAAGAACTGGGTAAAAATGAATGCTTTACCGAAATCATTGAACATTCCATAGAATCCTTCAGATTTTGCGTTTAGGTTGAGCCGCATGCAGACCTAAAATAAATCTGCAAATTTCCAAAATCCCGCAAGTTCATGACCTACCATTTCCCCAGGGCACTCGTATCCTCCACCTCCCTTTTGGGAACACATCGTGTCCGGTATCGCCAAATCGGCTATGGTAACATTATTAGGGTCTGTGCCTAAGGGACACATTTTTGAAGCTAATTTCAACGGGAAAAATTATCTGTTATTTACTTACTGGGTACAACACAGTGATAATCCATTCTACCAAACAATTGAATCCCTACAATGGCGTATAATGCCATGAAAAATACGAAAAATACAGTGACATTCTGCACTTGCTGGCTTGATCTCCTAAACAGAAATTTCAAACTCTGAAGCATCTTCTTGGGACCATAACCGCACTTCAGCAGCTGCTCAATCCTAGCTTTTGGCAGTTTAAATTTGATGGCGAGCCGGATCAATCGAATGATTATGAAGGGTCGAACTGATCTGATTACACCAAACCAGTCCTATAGATATTGAGCTATAAAACAGACCAAATGCTGACATTTTTCTTCACCTCATATGGGAAAGAAGTCATAGGAAACTGAATTAATAGTAATTGATAAAAATGCAATATCCATGACATCCAATGTGAGGCTACCATGAACAGATCAAACTGTGCCCAGCGATTGTGTAGATATGAGGAGTTGGCCTAAAAACGAACAGTTATCCTTTTATCGTAATAATCCTCACATAATTGTGAATTTCGACATTCAAGGTCTCATTTCTCACTATGTAACCCATTTTTTTGTCCAAATCATGAAACTCAATTTTTGACCGGCAGTTAGAGTGTTTGATTACAGGAATCTTCTTTGCTTTTATTTCTATGTATGTATATGTGTTTGTCAGTGGCGGTCCCAGGATTTCTGTCGAATCGGGGAGGGAGGGGGGCCTCAAAAATTCCGATGAATGTGTGTGGAGTTAGCCACAGACTCCGAAAAATTTTTTGGTATGCTTTCCAAAGTTTATGCGGGCCCATAACTCGCAAAATCTGAAGAAGGAGACGTGGCGGAAGCCATACCCCTGAGTTTTTTTACCCTCTGAATTTGTAAAAAAAATTGTTTTTGGAATTATTTACGAGAATAAACAAGGCACTTGCGCATTTTTATAATTCGTACTCAAAATCTGTTCTCGTCAGAGAAGTGTAGGTCGAAAGCGCGTACAAGAAATACCGTATAAAAATTTTTTAAAAAGCAATTGAAAAAAATCAGTGGTCTCAAAATTATTCACGAGGATTATGATGATTTCCACCAATAAGTTATCAGAAATTTTTTTCGTCCCTCTCGACCAAGAATTATACTTTCAAGAGTAAAGGTGTTCGAACAAAAAAAACAATGAACAAGCAACTTTATTTTTTT